GTATCGAATTCGCCATTCACGAGATTCAAACCTAAAACCTCTCACTTCCAAGCAAAGAGAAATACCACTAGACTGTAGTACTGAGCAGCTCCTGGGAGTGATCCTAAGAACACATAATATGTCTTAATTTTTATTCGTCTATTGGTTTTTTCTCACACATTTTTTTTTTATTCATATGCAGGCCGTGGTCCTGCCATAATGCAGGTTCCTAGCTGACTTTGTTGTGGCAGGTCAGTTATTGTTGCGTTGTTGGGTATTTCTAACAGATAGATGAACCCAAGAGCCAATATATTGACTGTTCAGTTGAAAATTTGTATATACCCATTCGTGCGGATATATAGTATATAAACCTGTTGCTTTGACCTGACTGGGCCATAACCACCTCGGTTGCACGCTGAACTTCAGCTATATATATACTTACATTGACATGACACTATAAATGCATTTCACAGCTCACTGTCGCTTGCATAAAGATGGGTAGACCTGAAATTGCTGCAAAAGCTGTTGAGATTGCCGAGAAACGGGTTTCGCGAGACAATTGGCCAGAATACTATGATACCAAAAGAGGTAGGTTCATTGGAAAACAAGCACACCTGTTCCGGGCCTGGTCAATTGCAGGATACCCTGTCGTAAAGCTCCTGCTCGCTGATCCTGGTAAAGCCAAGATTTTGATAACCGAAGAGGATTCTGAACTCGTGAATGCCTTCTCCTGCATGTTTAGTGCTAACCCAAGAAGAAAGCGAGGTCGAAAGAATTTGAAGCAGACCTACATTGTATGACTTCTGTTACGACAATTTGTTATACAAAAGACAGCTGATATCATTGGTGCCGCTGGCTATGCAGACGATTCGCTCTCTCTGAGTTTGGTTTTCTCTGCCAGTTATATGTATATTTCTACAATTTCTTCGACACTGCACGCAGTTTTTCGTGCTAGAAACCAAAGCATATATCGACTATTTGAGGTAGATTATCACTATATTAGAGAGCTAATCACTCGCTATGGCTTGATACCAAATCTCTTCCTAAACCAGGGTTTCGTTTTCTTGAAGTACAAGTTATCAATTCGGTCCCCTCCTTTCAACTTCAACTTTGCTATTTTGATCAAACTGAAAAAGAAAAATAAAATATTTAGGGGTTTTAGCTTAATCTTAAAATTAAAATTTACAAATAAAGTTAATATAAAATATTACTAGGATTTGATGTTAGCATTTGACTAAATGTGAACTAACAAAAAGAGTAATGTGAAACAACTTTTGAAATGAACTTTCTCACACCGTAGCTTATCAAATAAGCATAAATCATGTCCTTTATCAAACAACTTAGCAATCCAAAATTTAAAATAAAATAAAATAACAGAAGTACCCCGAAATAATAAACTCCCGAACGGGCACCATATGTTTTCATAAGTAGAATACATCATAAATACAGATCGATCAAGAAAAACAATGAGCATTGTTTTTCATGTTAATGGAGACATGATTATGGTCAAAGACAACAACGTTATGATCTGATCTAGCTAATCAAACAAAAGGGTTGCCCCACCTTAATCAAAAGGGAAACAAAATCCAAACAGGGAGAATCTTACATTCATATACGGATTTAGATCCTCTCTGGATCCCTTCATTGGGGATTCGTGCTGTCACAATTTTTTTATATATATATTTTTCACGTAAATCGAGTTTGCTTTACTTTTAAAAATATAAAACGCATTCGATTGTGATCACACGATCTTTGATGAACAGTTATTATGCATTGATCCCCAGGATCCTAGTGAGGAGATCCAGAGAAAATCTAAATCTACCACATATCCTTCCCATTGATTATTTAATTCCATGAAAACTGTTAATTTCTTATTACGTATATTAATTTAAATATTAATATTAATATATTCACGCGTAAACAGCTACACTAGATAAATAACAAGCCATAAAATCCAAAATTCCAGACATGGAAACAAAAAGCCGAAAAGAAAAACCAGTAATTGGGCCCACTGTGGGCCCTCACAACACAGCAGCCAGCCATATGGCCCATTTCCAAATTTGGCCGGCCCATGACTCTTTCCACCTCCCTTCAAAAGGCTCCTCCTATTTTTACTTCCAACTCTTCCTTTGGAGTTTGTCTCCACCTCCACCCTAATCACCATCACCATCACCACTTCCACGGTTCCACCACCGTCAACACAACCATGCAGCAATGTGTCGACGACCTCGTCGACAACATAGACAACCTTCACGTTGAGTATGCTTCTACCGAGGCCATTGACATGACCATTACTACCGAAACAAATCATGGCACAAGTTCGAATTCTGGAACCGCCATACGGACCACTTCAAGCCACATAACATCCACCACCAAACCCCACGCGCCGCCAAGCGATCCATGCTGGGATGCTATCCAATACAAGAAGTCCGATGGCACGGGGCTCAGCCTCGATAACCTCGGCCTCCTGCGCCGTCTAGGGAGCGGCGACATAGGGAGCGTGTACCTTGTGGAGTTGGAGGGTAGTGATGGGTGCATGTTTGCTGCCAAAGTGATGGACAAGGAGGAGTTGGCGGTTAGGAACAAAGGAAATAGGGCAAGGATAGAGAGGGAAATACTGGAAATGTTGGATCACCCATTTTTGCCCACGCTCTACGCCTGGTTGGAGTCCGATAAATGGTCTTGCTTGTTGACTGAGTTTTGTCCCGGCGGCGACCTCCATGTCCTCCGCCAATGCCAACCGGACAAACGTTTCCGTGAAGCTTCCGTCCGGTGAGTACAATTTGCACTATGACATAACATATGCAATTTAATCTTACTATGTATGCATTTGTGACGCATAAATGTGCATATGTTTCAATTTTCTTAATTATATTTGCAAATTGGTAATTATAGTAAGTGGGATCCAGTATTTGCTTGAGACTATTGATTATTCTATGCGGGTTTCATAGGCTTTATTTTATGTCTCGAGTTTGCAAGCAACTTATACAATATTTATAATCGTAAATTGAAGATATCACGTCAACTCGCTCTAGTAGTTCTTAACTCAATTAAATCCATTATTAGAAATTTAGATTTCACTTGAATTTTTTGAAAATCGCTCATTCCACTGCTAATTAGTCTATTTTTACAATATTTATGTTTTTTCTGGTGGTTGCAGCTCTTTTCTGTGTATTAGTAATTTTCTTTTTTCTTCAATATTTTATTTACCAAAAAAAAAAAAAAAACTTACACGATACAACAGATAATTTGTTATCGTGGCAACGTCTCATGGCAGCAACACTTGATCATGACCATGATCAATATTAATTTCCGTAATTATATGCCTTAATTAGGGCAAAATTTGATTAGGTTGCTGCTTTTGGTTACCACTCCAATTAGGTGACATTTTAAAGGGTTTTTAATTGATTGTTAGTACGGAAAATCACCCATAAACGGACCAATTAATATGCAATCAATTTCTTCACCAAAAAAAAAATGCAATCAATTAATAATTTTTATTTGGAAATTAATTTTTTATTTTCTCTGTTTTCGTAATTTTCCAATTTATGTCCTTTTTGTGGTTGAAGATTCTATGCATCAGAAGTAGTTGTCGCTCTGGAGTACCTCCACATGATGGGAATAATATACCGTGATCTAAAGCCCGAAAATGTACTCATAAGATCAGACGGCCATATCATGTTGACCGACTTTGATCTCTCATTAACAACCACCGATCCAACATCAACGGCTCAGGTTGTTTCTGATCGGGACCCACCAGTCACCAACCGTTCCGATGATCCCCACAAGCCAAACTTTGGCATATCATCATGCATCCTACCAAGTTGTATGGTCCCGGCCGCACCAAACACACACCCAAAACGCAAACGCAAGAAGAATTCCGGCCACCGCGGGATGCTCGAGATCGTGGCGGAGCCTATCAATGTCCGGTCAATGTCATTCGTCGGGACCCATGAGTACTTGTCGCCGGAGATTGTATCAGGCGAAGGGCATGGCAATGCAGTAGATTGGTGGACTTTAGGTGTGTTCATATTTGAAATGTTCTACGGTGTGACACCCTTCAAAGGAACCAACCATGAGTTAACCTTAGCCAATATCATGGCTCGAGCACTTGAGTTTCCTAAGGAGCCCACCGTGCCCGGGCCCGCCAAGGATTTAATCGCCCAACTTTTGATCAAGGACCCATCAAGGAGACTGGGGTCCACAATGGGTGCAACAGCAATCAAACACCATCCATTTTTTAATGGGGTCAATTGGGCACTACTGAGATGCAATACCCCACCCAACATACCCCGGCCGGTTGCTTGCCGGGACTTTGCCCAGGCCGAGAAACGCAAGGACAATTCAGTAGAATATTACTAGTCAGATAAGAAACTCAAGTTTGTTTCAAAGCAATTGTGATATAAAATTTCAAATATACATGTAGCTGGAATTTTATTTTGTGGATTTTAATTTGAACAATGTCACAATTTTGTTGATTTAATACGATATATAGTTCAAAAACAAAAATGATTTCCGCTGCTCAATTTTTTTTAGCCACCTCTGTTCATTTTTGTCCATCGCTTTTCTTTTGATTTATTCGATTCAAATGTTTGGAATATCAAGGATGTGCGGGAGAAGAATAGAGGCATCTGAAAACCACTTCCCCTAAAAAAAATCACTTGGAGGACACTTGTGCATGATGCATGATGCATGCATGCAAATTGATTTTTATCGAAAGCAATTTGAGGGTTCATTTCTTATTTTCAAGATTATTTTATTGATATCGTGGTCTATTGGAACAAACAATTGAATTGAATTGCACTTATAGACAGTTTTGTCAAATTTTACAACTGACGTCAATATTATCCATAATTTAAAAATTGAGTCTAATCTTGAGTATGAACAGCCGCGACGCGTTGAAACTAAGCACCAACTGATCAGATTACTCCATGACATGACTCTTGGTTGAAGGGTGGAGACCACTGTCTACCTCTTTGCAAAAATTTCAACGCTCGTGTTGTTTGTTGCCACTGCAATATTGGTACCACCCATTAATGGGGTGTGTGTGATCAACTTTATATCCATCCATCCCATAGGCCATAGCCAAACAAAAAAACTGCTACTGTTGCAACATTTTTGTAACAATGGCTGAGCTTTGTCTAGATTGTTACCACGGTGCATCAGCGACAGCGGTGGTGGTTCCTCATCACACAAGTCACGGCCAGGAATCAACCGCGGCAGTGAAGTTGCAAAAAGTGTACAGAAGTTATAGAACCAGGCGTAGGCTAGCAGATTCGGTTCTTGTTGCTGAACAGCTATGGTAATTAGTTTTCATGTGAACATTTTGATCTCGTTTTCTGCTTATAATCTCAAGGTTATATAATATGTTAGTTTTTTGATTAATTGGAGGTGGCAAGCCATAGATTATGCAAAGCTGAATCGGAGTACAGTTTCCTTCTTCGATTATCATAAATCCGAAACTGCAGCGTCACGGTGGAGTAGGATCAGTCTCATTGCATCGAAGGCGTGTTTCCTTATCTTCCTCATGGCACATAAACTTAGTACTCCAACATTAAATCTTTCTAAAGCTCGAAAGGAAAAAAATTAACGGTTCATGTTTGATTAATTCTTTGTAGCTGGGGAAAGGATTATCTAAGGATGCCAACGCACAAAAGTTAGCGTTCCAACATTGGATTGAAGCGGTAAGCTTGTCATAGTTAGAGTAAACGTTGATTTCTCGTGCAAAGACATTCATCTTCGCTGCTCATTATCGTCATGGTTGTTGCAGATTGATCCAAGACACCGTTATGGCCATAATCTGAACTTCTACTATGATGAGTGGTGTAGATGTGATGCTGGGCAACCATTTTTCTACTGGTATATATATAATTCAAGATCCGCAGTTTATCATGTTCAATTAATGTTTTCTAAGATACTTGGTACATTTAAGCTTAGATGATTTAGAAAGAAGAGTCTCTACCTTTTGTAGGTTGGACATTGGAGATGGCAAGGAAGTTGATCTCAAGGATTGCTCAAGATCAAGGCTGCAACAAGAATGCATCAAATATCTAGGACCGGTACCATACTTCCCTCCGTGCTGCGTATTTTGTAACTTGGAACAACTTTAGCAGCATTTCATTCGGAAAAGCATGGTTATACTTGCCACTCACCGATCCACGATAAATATAGGCATGACTAGTTCTAGAATCTGATAAAAAAAAATGTAGTACTAGTACTATAAAGTACATTCACATACACAGGATTAAGATTATAAACCCTTGTTTTTGAGCTCCGCATCAAATAAAATATGCTAACATTCTCTTATGCATCTTGTGGTGATCTTTTATGCAAACAAGCAAGAGAGGGAACAATTCGAATATATCATTCATGAAGGGACATTGGTGCACGGAGGAACAGGACATCTTCTTGATACAAATCTAGGAATGCAAGATTCTAAATGGATTTTCGTCATGAGCACCTCAAGGAAACTTTATGCTGGTGTGGTAAGATCTGATATGGACGTCAACTGTGTTTAGCTTCAGTGTTCGCTACTTCTATTTGCAGAAGACTGATGCTCTTCTTGTTCGTCCTTCAAGAAGAAGAAGGGATCATTTCATCATTCCAGCTTCCTTGCGGGAGGGGCGACCTTGGCTGCTGGAAGACTTGCAGTAGAAAATGGAAAGCTCAAGGTACATATAGTGATGCATCAATCAGAAAATCTGGTACTCTAAACTCTTAATATCAGTCTGTATCCATCTCTCGGGATAACTCGTCCTCTTAGATATTTAATTTATTATGCTTCTAGCTCCTAATTCCCCTTGTCGTAATTGGAAATCCTTACCCTTTTTACATCTGAATGCTATATGTCCTTTTGACTTCCAGTCCGTGTCAGCATACAGCGGACATTATCGTCCAAGCAACGAAAACCTTGGCAACTTCCTCGCCTTCCTTGAGGAAAATGGAGTCACCCTTGATGAAGTCCAGGTAGAATGCATGCTGTTCATATTTTTTTTTAAGTCCATCAACGATCAATAAACTGTATAATGTATGCACATTTGTGCATGCTTCGAGTCTGGTTTCCTCTGAGCTTTCCCCATCTTATTCAGGTACTTTCTCCAATGGAAGGCAACAAGAGCTACGATTTGAGCAAAATGAACCAAGCAGGAAGAACAATTGGACAAACAAAAGATGAACAGCCTGAACTTCATGCTTCCAGAGTCGAAGAACTAAATCAACAGTCTGAATCCTGTACATTTACACAAACAAAAAGAACGGTCACTTACCAAAGAACTGTAACTAGGAATCTCCGCAACCTCCAAATAATTGTGCCGACGAATGAAATATTGCAGAGGATCAAGCCCAAGAAGGAAGCAAGTTCATGCCAATTTCGGGACCAATTATGTTCAGAATGGTCAACAGGAGTAGGCCAGATAACTGGATCTGTTGCAGAAACCCTCTGAAGTTAGTCTCAAACGCTGGAATTTGCAAACCTCTCGCCTAGGGTTCCCATCATGGCATCGAGCTCTGAACCTCCATCCGGATCACAGCCTTTACATCGTGCAGGGTAATGTGACCGGGATTGTAAGCCCGTCCCTTTTTTATGCAAGTGATATTGGAGAAGGAATTGAACGCAGAACCTCAAGTGCATGTGTAAATGCTGTTAAGTGCTTGAGCAACAAGAAGCTGGTATTGTAAGCCTCTCTTTCGTAAGGGACGTGACTGCAAGTCACCGCAGTCTAGGTAAACAGTACTTAACAGGATTGAACAACCAAGTTTTTTCTTTAGGTAAAACACTAGCGACGGAGGGGTAAGTAATCTCAGAATGTTACAAATTAGGGAAAACTATCTCAGAGAACATTAAACACCGAAGCAGTAAGAGAAATTAAAAGAAGGCTTCAAACAACACACCGTCTCCCATTTATTTATACAGGAAATCATACATACAACAAGTTCAAAGGGGATCATTGTGATTGTGCTTACGAACAAGTACAAGTTTAACAAAGGACTTCATAGTCTATCATGTCGGTGTTCACCGATGAAACACATATTAAACGAACTACATCCACATCCACATTAAATAGGCAAAACACTAAGCTAAGCAGCTGCCACAGCTTCTGCAGGCTTAGCTTCCGGTTCTGCTGGTGCTTCTGCTTCCCAATAAGCAGTCTTCTTGCCAGTTTTGGAAACAGTTTGCAGCACTGTCTCGGGTGGTAAATTGCTTTTCACTGTCACTTTCTGAGCATCGAAATCAATGTCATATGATTCTACACCTGAGGATGAGAAGAAAGAACATCTTCCATCATTATCAAGATAAACGAAATCCACACAATTATGGACTCTATATTTTGTTAAAAGTTAGAACAATGATTAACAGCACAATTCCTGTTCAAACATACTTACTCCAAAACAACCTCTCTATTTGTTTTTTAAATGGATTAACATGTGGGAATCAGGATAATATGCAATGCAGTAGACCACCTAGGGGAACAGGGACGATTTCATGGCCTCTAAACCCAAGGTGAAGTATACACCCATCTCCAAGATATAAGAGAACCATGACCTATTCTTCCTTTTTCTTTTGAAGGCCACCGAAGTGATAATCAGTGCACAGAGCCTCAGTGTCAACGTATACGACAAAAATACATCGGACTTTCACAAGATCGAAGCATCGCAACACTTAAATCCACATTCGTGGACATATTCACATGATTACATAGTTTGCCTATTGTTGTAACTTATAGCCTCAATTGAAATAGAATAGGTATTAAAGAAGATTCAAATGATTTTCTTATGCTAGATTAAAAAGACCGTAAGCACGGCACTGAAGAGTAGGAAGATCAACACAATTGAAGCGGACAAACACGAGCTATAAACAAACCTTCAAGTTTGCCAAGAACCCGTTTGACGGCCCCAACACAGCCTTGACACGACATACCAACCTTGAGGACCGTAGTCTGCACCGAAAAACAATCAAACATTGAATTAAATACTGAAAAGAAACAAAGAACCAACATATACCGAAATTCACAGAACCAAACCTATGCTAACATATCGCCATTCTAACGATGATTTCAAACTCCCCATCAATTTTCAAGATATTCTCTTCACCTCAAGACATAATCAGTTTCTTTTGATTCTCTCAATTTTTATGCAATTCATTCCTATAAAAGCAAGAGACTTTTCAACTTTTCAATCAAATATATATCTTTTCTTCAATTGCTTTTGATCAGAATAAATTCCTAGCTCAGCAGCTAAAAGCAAAACTGAATAACTTGAAAAAATATATATTTTAAGCTGGATAACAAGCTTAAGCAACTAAATTTCCCAAAAAAAAAAAAAAAAAAAAAAAAAGCAAGTAAAAGCATAATCTTGTACATAAACTGAGAATATTATTGTAAAACAAAATAAAGTGACAGATTAAAATTTCAAATCAAACCCAACATTGGTTCAACAAATTTAGTACAATCGTACCCAAATTTGACTTACAAGTCCTTAACTTTACATCCAGCACCAAAAACCCCAATCCAATCCAATCCAATCTATTAAATTTCAATAAAATCCCAGATATAAAATTGAATTGAAAGCAAAGGAGAAGAGGAGCAGAGGTACATACCTGAGACGCCATGTTAGGGTGTTTGGGATTTCAAGAAAGCTGAGGAAGAAATGAGAAATTTTGTTATGGATTGGATGCTGGCTGGTGTGCAACTGGCGAAACCCAAATGGTATTTTTATAGTAAAAAATAAATAAAAGCAAAAAAGGTGATGAGGAAAAGGTTGACTCGGATTTTTGTTTTTATTTTCACTAGGCGACGTACGTAAAAGCGATAGCACGTTTATTATTCTTATGTTGCTTTTCGGTTACGATAATATTCCACCGAAAGAAAACTCAATGAAGATGATTTAAAAATTTTGGATTTTAACGATAAGGATAAAATAAAAGAAAAAATGATTAGTATTAAAATTGACTTTTTAGTATAAAAATATAATTTTTCGTTAAAATTTCCTAAAAGAAAAGAAAATTACTTTTATATTCCTCTTTCTTTCCTATTTCTTGGCTTTATATTTCTTTATTTCCTATTTCTTGGCTTTTCTTTTTTGGCTTTTAAATGAAAATAGAAAAATCACTTAGTGTTACTGTCTTATAGACTTGTAAGTGAGAGATCGTAGACTCGAATATCACTAAAGGTGAAATTGAACTAGTTTATTATGTCTAGTCTGTTGTGAGATGATGGTCAGGGGTTGAGGACGAATTGCACGATGTTAGATTTTTGGAGCTGATGAATCGCATGATGTTGGCTAGAAGAGACTGAAATGTCTCTGCGAGTCTTTCTAGCTCCTGAAATGATGAACTACCGTGGCGAAGCCACTAGTTGACCCTCTTTTTAAAAAAGGAAAAAAAAATTGTGGGATTAGTCCACTCCTCTATTGTGAAGTTTATGAGATTAGTGAACCTTCAACAGAGGTTTAATTAAAGGATTTAGTGAACCTATTCAGTAGGTTCAGCGTTCTTAGAACATAGCCATTGTTTTATCCAAAATAAAATTGACATGTATTGCAATACAATGAAATCAGACAAAACCTTGGAAACAAATAAGAAGATAAATTCAAACCTCTTGTTAATCTTTGTAATTGTGGTGTGGAATTCTCTTTTTTCCTTCGTTTGGGTTGAAAGTTCTGACAAGATTTTATCGAAGCTCAAAAAAAGCACCCTATCTTCTTTGTACGAATTATGCTATGTCATCAATAAATATCGTACTTCTCTTAAAAAAAGTTCATATTAACTGGATGATAAAAATTGCATCCCAACATTAATTTAGAGAAATCCAACCTCAACCAATGAGTAACCCTATCTCATAGCAAACAGGCAACAGACCTAAACTGATAACAAAAAAAAATCTTGGATTAATCATAAAGGATGATCACATTTCTGGTTTAAATCTTTCTCAAATAGAAATCGGAGTTATTCATTTAAAATTTCCTTTTTGGTGGCGAATAATACGAAAGCATCCATATGGGAAGAGTGATTCATGAGGAAGGATGGAAGGAGGAGGAGGTCTGAAAACAAGACGCAATGTACTAATTATTAAGACATTTAACCACTTGCAAATGAATTTTATATACTAAATAAAAGTAATATATGGCATTCTGCAATTCAATTACATTATGCGGAATTAACGATTTTAGAGAAAGTACATAGTAGTTGAATCAACTGAACAACTTCAACCGCTACAGTTAGTGGTTGGGGACGAATTTCAAGTCCATATCTCACACGACACATCTTGTGTTCAATTTCTAGCGTTGGTAAATCGCACAATGATAGTCAGGGAAGACTAAGATGCATTTGTGAATCTTCTTGACCCTCGAAAAAATGAATTACTGTGACAATACTAATAGTTGATTCTTTTAGAAGAAAAAAAATTCCAACTGAAGTTGACAACTTCTCTAGGAAAGTAGCGAGTGGTTTTAGGTTTAGACATGTCAACTAATTTGACGCCACAAACACTAAAAGCTTGTATGGATAATGGATGTGGCAATCGTTCTTTACAAAGCATCCTAACGAGCTTTCCACAACATTGTACTAGCTTATCCCCTTGTGTTTGACAGAAATCATCTTGTTTTTGGTCCAATAAAATTTGTTGTATTTTTTTTTTCTACACAATGATATATTTACATTAAGGAAGTGACAAATTTTAGCTAAACCACGTAACAAGCTCTTATTCGATGAAAATCGAACTTAAGACCTCTCGTTTACAATTACAAATAAAAATGAATAATACTGGACCATAATACTAAATGATAAGTTGACAATTAGCGCATCACATGCATAATACATAATTTGGTTTAGCAATGTGATTTCAATACATTGGACGTTGACATTAATGGGTTGGGCAATGTTGTCCACCCACCTATTTTTACTTCTCATACACCTTTTGTAATTTATGTCCTTTGAGCTACTACAATTCATTTGATCTGGCAATCAGAAAATAAAAAGAATATGCGAGAAGTAAAACGGACTGTGTGGATAGCACATCCTTAGTAGGTTATTTTATGCATGAAAATTGTATTTTTTTTTTGCAACAATCAACAAACATGCATGTACCACCTCAACCATTCACGTTGCAGCATTAATCACCAATACAATTGTATTTTTTGGCTTTGATAATGCATAGTTGTTGACATTAAACAATCATTATTAAATCTAAACTTGTTTATTATCTTATTATACCACCCTGAAAGCATTACTTATTACTTGATATTCTTAATCCCAATTATCTGGAAGATTTAGTTGAATCTTACTTAATATATAATGAATTGATCTAGTCAATGGCAATTTGACTAATTAAAATGAATGGAGCTGCCAAAGGCGTGCTTGTGTAATAAAAGACAAAGTTACCAAAAAGAAAAAATAAAATGGTTATCAAAAGGGCCTAACATGTTAGTTTTTCAAGGTCAGCCTGCGACACTTCTCGACTTTTTATAAGTAAGGAGCTATTATCTAAGAACCATAGTATGAGAATTACATGAAAAACAATAATAATAAAATTTTGCACACATGTCAAATTGTAGTTTAGCTGTAAAGGAGCCCAATATATGGTAACTCATTTTAATCATTCCGTGAAAAATCTCTATTAAATAAGGATAAAATAACAAAAATATCCTCAGTTTTGTCAAATCATTTTGATCCATTGTTTATTTAA